AGGTGTTCGAGCAGCTGCTCGAGGCCCTTGATGGGACTGTTGAAGCAACTGTTGAGTCGCCTCCCACCGACCAGATCGCACATGGAATGGCCCGACCCGCGCACCACCAAGAGAAACGTGCTGCTCAGCAGCCATCGGCATCCCCCCTTCACCAGCACGAATGTGGGCACAGCGACTGGGGTTGGGTTAGCCGCGCCCACTGCCCCCGCCCCCCCCCCCCCCCGTAATATTCAAGAACACGCTGGGAAAAGGCCACGAACGAGAGGGATGAGGGCGACGTGTTACCCTGCGGGCGACCGGTCCCGCGCAAAATATGCACGTGCACATGTCCGTCCGTTAATTGGTATCCGCCTTATTCACCCTGTTCATTGTCTCCACACGAGATCTTGGTACCTGCTGGCAAAAAGGCGGCCGTCCTTGAACGGTCAAGGTGGAAGTCTCAGTCCATTCCACGTGGGCAATGCACTTCTGGTGACTGTCGTTGCGCCTCCCTCTGTCTTCTCCGCCTCCCTCAACCCATCTCACCCCCGACATCCGCCCTCTTCCTCCCGTTCCCTCTCTCCTGCTTCTCCCCTCCCGCCCTCTTTCTATGTGTTTCATCTCCCTGCTCATCCATCCCGCCTCCTCGTGCCTTCCTACCTTTTGCTTCCCCCTCTTTCCGTTTCCTGCCATGCGTATCTTGCAACAGTTCGCCACTTCGTCTCTGCCTCTTTCAAACCTCCCTCCATTTTTCTTCCCTCTTGCACCGTCTGTGAGTATCAGCTGGGCCCCGGCCTTCACCACCCCTTGGCCTCAGATATTTTCCAGGGGCCGAGAAAAGGGCACCAAACATCCCACGCTTCATTTTAGAATCTCTACCACCAATGAGAAGGAAGAGGAAAGGGGGGGGGGGAACGGGAAGAGGAAAGACAGCGAACGAACGAAGGAGGAGGAGGATGAGGAGGAGGAGGAGGAGGAGGATGAGAAAGATGAGAAAGAGGAAACGTCATCGGGGGAGAGGGCCACAACAAGGATGAGGACAAGGGCCAGAGTCAACCAAGTATGCAGAATCGACGCTGCAATGCACCCTGTTTCATGTCCCCCCGCACACGCACGCGCAATTCTTCGCATTAGTTGCAAGAAGCGCCCCCTTGAAAGACCAGCGCAATGGGGCCTGCCATTTTGACGAGGGCACTCTCTTGAAAAGGAATTGCCTTGCATCTTTCTGGCGCGCAGTCAAGCACGCGGCACAAAACAAGAATGATCACGCAGTTCAGCTAGGTGTCCAGTGATACCCCTTTTTTCTAGGAAGGACCGCCCCGCATCCGTGAAACGGCTGCGCAAGTTTCCCCGCGTGTTCCCCATGCGTTTCTAGGAAGGCTCAAGTGACCCCCCGTGTGTCAACGCGACGATGTACCCTTTGTCTTGCCCGGCGTCTGAGGTCATTTTTGGTTCTGGCGCTTGGCCGTTTCATAATATCGGTCGGGCGTTGCGGCTGGCCCTAGGCCTGCGCCGTCGACGCCGCGCTGTGGCGGAACGAAACGTTCAGCCTCCCCGGCGCATGCCATGCCGTCGCGCAGGAGGAAGGCGGAGGGAACCGAGGCGGCGGACCGCGGGGGAGAGCCCAGAGCACGGGGCAGCGCTCCGCATGACCCTCTTGGACGGGAACGGGTCCGCCAGGCAGAGGGCCGTGGGGGAAGGTCGGGAACGCGGGGCGGCGCCCCGTGCGACCTTCTGGGGCAGGAGCCAGGCGGGGCCTTCAGGGGCGGCCGCCAGGCTGGCGGGATCTCCATTTCCCCGACCCCGCAATCCGGCGGCGAGGGGGGTTGGCAAGATGTCTCTCGAGGGCGCGTGACCTCGGAGATGCACTTGAGATTGGCGTAGCAACCTTGGCCCAAAAGTAGGCCGACGACACGCGCGAGTTGGCAGGTGGCCACGTGATCGTAGCCAACCAGGCTAAGTGCCATTATTGTAACAAGGAAGAGCGCGGCTCTGCTCTTCGTCTTGGCCGATGAGGACGGTGTGATTCGATTGTTCTAAAACATCAGAGCTGTCCTCGCGCGCAATTTCGGCGCCAAGGCCATGGGCGCGGAGTGCCAGGGGGTGGTCGTCAACACGATCCCAGAACCCTTGCGCAAGTGCCGCTGCATGTGTTTCAGGTGCCACGGTGACAAGCAGCGCGGTAACAAGGACTACTACTCAGGCCGTGGACGCAGCCTGGGGTCCGAATGGTGCAACTTGAGGGAGAAGCAGTAGACTGGGTTGCCGACGCAGCAGGCCAGGTCCATCGAGCGCGCCGCAGTGGCGGGGGCGAGCAGGAACTGGAATGGCCCACCAAACGTCTGGTTGAAGGATACATGCGAAACTGTCCTGATGGAAGAGCGGCTGGGATCTGGGAGACCGCGTCATTGCATGTGTCCGCGCTCCAAGGTGGCCCCCCCCCAAGCCGAAGGCGTGGGCGCGCTGCGCGGCGCCGGCGCGGGCAGACGTTCCCGAAGGCGCCGCGGGCGGGGGGGGCACTAGAGGCGCGCGAGCAGAAGGCGCGGGGGCAGGTGGTCAGGGCCAAGGACGCGCGGGAACGCCGCGCAATCACCTTGCCGTCGCGCCCCGTCGCTGCGAAGGGCGGCGCGGGGGCGGCCGGCGACGAGGGGGCGATGCAGATCGATCAGTCGGAGGGGCGCAGCCCTGAGGACGAGCCAGAGATGATCTACTTCGGTCACGGGACCCTGGGCGCGCAGACGGCAGCGGAGGGCCTCGGCGCGACGGGGGCCGCGGCGCGGAGGGGCGAGGCGGCCGCTGAGGATGCCAGGGGCCCAAGCAGCAACGGAGGAGCGGCGAAGAGGCAGCGGCGGGCATCCACGAAAGGGGGCGGACCAGATGGAAGGGCGCCGCGGCGCGCCCCAGGGGGGGCGACCGGCCGAGGAGTGGCCGAGGCTCCGTCACCGCGGGGCCCGCGCGAAGGAGGGGGCCCGCTTTGCTCGGAGGTGCCGCGCGAGCGCCGAGGGCGGCCGCAGCGGACCAGGGGCGCAGGAGGAGGCTCTGCGCGAAGGTTCGCCAGGTCGCGCAGCCGACGAGATGGGCGCGCCATCGCTCGAGACGGCGCCGCTAGGCATGGCCCGGGGGCGAGCGACGGGCGGCGTCGCGAGCGGCGCGCGCGCGAACGCGGTTGGGGGTTAGGCCCCAGAGGCGCAGCCCGCATGCGTCTCCCACACCCCGCGCATCGCTTCGTGGCCGCACAGGGACCTCCACCGAAGGTTCCAGTGGCGCAGCCCGCATGCGTCTCCCCCGCCCGGCACAACGTTTCGTGGCCCAATAGGGGGCTCCACCGAAGGACCCAGTGGCGCAGCCCACATGCATCTCCCACACCCAGCACAGTGTTCCGTGGCCCCATAGGGAGCTCCACCGAAGGTCCCAATGGCGCAGCCCGCATGCGTTTCCCACACCCAAGGCAGCGTTTCGTGGCCCCGCAGGGAGCTCCACCCAAGGTCCCAGTGGCGCAGCCCGCATGCGTCTTCCACACCCAGCACAGCGCTTCGTGCTCAAATATCAACGGGCGCGTTCCAGTATTCGCAAAGTGCCTATACTTGCAAACGCCCGAAACATGTTTGCTTCGATATAATTATCGTAGATCCCCGCGGCGGATCTAGGCAATTTGCGAGTAGCTACTTTACGAAGAGTCCCAGTGTCGCAGTCCGCATGCGTTCCCCACAGCACAGCACTTCGTGACCCCATAGGTAGGGAGCTCCACCGAAGGTCCTGGTGGCGCAGCCCGCATGCATTTCCCCCACCCTGTATAGCGTTTCGTGGCCCAACAGGGAGCTCCACCGAAGGACCCAGCGGCGCAACCCGCATGCGTTTCCCACAGCTTGCACAGTGTTTCGTGGCCCCGTGGGGAGCTCAACCGACGGCCTCAATGGCGCAGCCCGCATGCGTTTCCCACACCCAGTACAGCGTGGACCCACGCGGAGCTCCACCCAGGGTCCCAGTGGCGCAGCCCGCATGCGTCTCCCAGACCCAGTACAACGTTTCGTGGCCCCATAGGGAGCTCCACCGAAGGTCCCAATGGCACAGCCCGCATGCGTTTCCCACACCCAAAGCAGCGTTTCGTGACCCCATAAGGGGTTTCCACCGGAAGTCCCAGTGGCGCAGCCCGCGTGCGTCTCCCCCACCCGGCACAGCGCTTCGTGGCCCAATAAGGAACTCCACCGAAGGTCCCACTGACGCAGCCCGCATGCGTCTCCCCCATCCAGTATAGCGTTTCGTGGTTTTGTAAAGAGCTCCACCGACGACTCCAGGGGCGAAACCCACATGCGCCTCACCCACCCAGTACAGCGTTTCGTGGCCCCATAAGGAGCTCTACCGAAAGTCGCAGTGTCGCAGCCCGCAAGCGTCTCTCCCACCCAATACAGCAATTCGTGGCCCCGTAGGAAGCTCCACCGACGGTCCCAATTGCGCAGCCCGCGTGCGTCTTCTCTCACCCAGTACATCGCTTCGTGGCCCCATAAAGAGCTCCACCTCAGGTCCCAGTGTCGCAGCCCTACCTACAACTGTGTTGATCACAAGTGCATCTGGTTGGGTCTTTCGCCTGGTTATTTTTGGGGGCGAAGGCGCGCGGTGCCCATGCGAGAGCCACATTGTGTAAACGACCGCCCCCCATCCGCGAAATTGTCGCCAATTCCAAGCTTCCGGATGAAAGTCTCAGGCGGAACGCTTGGCCTGCCCTACTGACGCCTGGGATTGTGGGTTGTGACAAGGAGGGGTTGCTTGTCAGGAGAAGGAGTGGAGCAGGAAGAGGAGGAAGAGGAGGAGGAGGAGGAGGAGGAGGAGGAGGAGGAGGAGGAGGGAGAGGAGAAGAGGAGGAGGAGGACGAGGCGGAGCAGAAGGAGGAGGAGGAGGAGGAGGAGGAGACGGGAGGAGGAGGAGGAGGAGGAGGAGGAGGAGGAGCACGAGGAGGAGGAGGAGGAGGAGGAGGAGGAGTTCAGTCCTTCACTTCTCTTTGCAATCCTTGCCTAGACGGCGAGGAGCCCCCGAAACTCGAGGGGTCGCTCTCGCGGCAGCTCGACGAGATCGCCTCCGCGCACGGGGGCAAGGCCCGGGAAGCACGGCGACCGCCCAGACCTTTAATTTCGTTAGAAAATTGCAGCGGATGTTGTCCCAGCGCCAGCAAGAATTTGCATTCACATGTTACGAGGTCCGCGAAGATTTAGTGGGTCGGCGCTGGGTCCCGGCGCGCGGAGCGCGCCAGGGCTGGCACTGGAGGCGCCGCCAGGCGAGCATCAGAGCGCGAGTCCTGATTCTCGGCTCGAAGGTGCCCCGTTGCCTCTCCGCTGCCGCGGGGTCCGGATTTTCGGATCGTGGGCGCTCCGTTGCCACCCGATTGCCGCGGCGTTGCCGCCATGTTAGCCGCCCCGTTATTGGTTGCATTGATTTGCATTGCGTGGCGCTGATTTGCGTTGCTTTGCGTTGCGCCGCATCGGTTGCAGTATATCACAGTTGAGGCTGAACGGTGGGACCATGTTTCTCCATTCGGCTGCCGATGTCGGGCCCCGCGACAATGAACAAACGATCAAGGATTAGTTTGTCCCCCAGGAAACGGTCGAGAACTCGGGTGCCTACAACCACTGAGCCTAGCATTTGGGAGGACGCGTGGGCAGATCAGCGCGCGATTAGCATGTGTTCTGGAAAATCCAAAGCAGCGAACGGGGTGCAAGTGCTCACAGGCTTGATTGCGAAACAAAAGCAGAGCAAGCAGGAGGAGGAGGGGGAGGAATCGGTTTTTGATTATATGGTCTTATATTGGGAGGAACGAAGCATGGCACAGCAGCTACAGGAACACTTGGTGTGCAAAGTTCCCGTGGGCTGTGTGTGATCCTGCATTTCATGATCCATATTGTTTGGCTCAAGATATTATAGTGGCTGTAGCATCGCTCATAGCTAAAACATCACATCGTCCTACCGTGCAACCTCTTATGAAGTTCGCGTGGTAGCGGAGCGAGGTGCATTTGCCAGTGGTGGGAACATTGAAATAGCGGTCGAATGCGAAACGTGGTGCCAGGCAGAATTCGAAAAGTGTTTCGAGTCATGCCGAATTGCTTGCAACAGCGGCGGGTATAACCACGTTGACGAGCGCCTGCACGCAAACCGCGGCGGCGTACCTTTCGTGCCCTTGAGGAGTGGCGAAGGTGTTAATTCGAGTACACTCGATGAAGGGTTCATTCGTTTCAAATGACAGGCCCATTAGACTCCTTGAACGTTCAACGCTACGAAATGTCACCTGTATCGCGAGAGCGAGGCCTTCAGGGCTAAGGAGCGCGTGTCGTAACCCTCCCAGGCGCGGAGTGCGTGTTGAGTCGCACCCTGAATTCGGCCTCGTGTTCTTGGCGTTTGTTGACGATTTCTATTCGTGGTCAACACGAAAACCGTGTACAAAGGTTCAGACCTGATCCGTGGCGCAGGCATCCAATTTGAACTGCCCGCACATGTCGACGATTACCCTATGGGCAGACGCCTTGTTCGATCCCCCAGGAAACCGTCAAAACAAGCATGGGAATCATTCGACCACTGTTGCCCCGCCACGCCATTTGCTTGTGCGTCAGGAGCAAGCCCAGCTAAAAAGGCCAAAGTTCGTCGCGTGCGCTGGGGCACGCGTGACTTCTCTGACCAATGCGTCCAGAAATGCTTCGACGTAGCTACAATCGCCGCCGCCAAATCCAATGCAGTCAACTTGAAAGATCTGCCTGCCGCAAACACGCTCGGGATCGAGGATTTTTCTTTGTCTAACAAGGCTGTTTTGGACCATTGGCGTCCTCGGATCCGCGGCGGTCTGCATCACGGTGAAGATCCTAGATTTGGCGGGCTGCTGCGGGTTTGACCCAGTGCATTTTGCTTGCAAGCTCCTGAGGGGAATCATCAAGCGGAATGCAGCATGTGACAATCGGTACCATCGATTGCCATGTTTCTAATATCACTCGTCAACGCAGTTTCCCCGCTGCGCTTACGACGCGGCGCGCAAGTTGTGCATCCTCCTTCTTTTCGCATGCGCATTGGCCCGAACACTTTCGCGTCGATGAATGCTGCGTGCAAGAAGCAAAACGATGATTCTCAGTCGCCCGTAGAGTCAGACATTGACGGTTTGGACATCTTACTCCCGACATGGCGGGCGCAGGATGTCAGTTCGCTTGGACATGGTTCCCGCCCCTCCATCATTGCATGTCAGCGCGGGGCGTTCTATCTATGGTGGCGTAGCCATCGATTGCCGGCTTTGCGGCCTAGACGGCGTCGACTCCCTCGAGCAATGTGCCAGGGGCAGCCCTGGCTCCGGCCTGCGCGCCGCCACCCCGCGCTTGGCCCCTCGCCCGCCAGGGCCATGTTCTTCGCGCCCCGGCGAAGGCCCCAGAGCTTGTTGGCCCTCCCCGAGGTTGGCCTATCACGGCAGAGGATCCGAAGCGATGATCAAAATCTATCGCGGGGGGCGCACAGGTGCGTTTCGACATCTCCACCGCGCGCATCGCATTAATCCGGATTGGAACGTCGAAGCGCGGCTTCAAGGACAGCTTCTTTTCGCGTTCGCATGGGGAAGGAGCAAGTGGCAGACGCGACGAAAAGGCACTCTGGTCGCAAGAAGAATGCCCCCTCTGGGACCGATCTTTCACCGCCGCGGGCGACGCGGGAACCCGGGATTGCGCCCCCTGCCTCCAGCCCCCAGGGCTGGAGAGGCAGCAGTCGCCAGAGATCATCTCGATATCGCCCGCCGCCTCGTCTCTCTCCAGAGCCCGCTCTGGCCCTTCCGCTGGCGCGCTGGCTCAGAGCAGTCCAGCAACGCGCCGCGTTTCGTTTGCCCCGCCCCCTCTCGACTTCGATTGCATCAAAATGAGCATCGCAACCCGGGCCCTCTGGATGGAAAATCCAAGGGGGAACGCATTGTAGTCATTTGGGCGTTCCCAGGATGTCTGGGAAATCTCGGGAACCTTAAATCTCAGAGGGGAATTCTTGGAAACTTTCCAGGCGTTGCAAAGTCTATGGAGAAAGCTCCAGAAAATCTCCGCGGCGCCAGAGTTTCCGAGAGATCTGTAGCGGCGCGCAGATGTCTCCGGAACATATACGGATCATTTGTGGCGATTCCCCCGAACATTTCCCGCGCGCGGAGGAAGACATATATTTGTACATACACATATATACCTATATATACATATACATATATATATATATACAGGCATACAGACATGCAAACATACATACATAATAACAGCGCGTGGTTCACAAAAGGGTGCCCCCCTCCTGGGGGCTGATGAATAGACCCCGCGGGGCGCGAAACTGTTTTCGTTTAGTCACGCGCGCCAGGGGGTCGTCGCTGGCACCGCCGAGGGGATCGTGCACCCCCCTGCATGGCAGCATAGAAACGATTGCCTTTTTCGTATAGAAGTTGTTATCAGGGTCGCACACATCCGAGGCGAATTCTTGTTCCCCCTATCAGGCGTCGTCGTCGTCGCCTTCTTCTTCCTCTTCTTCTTCGTCGTCCTTATCGTCGTCGTTTTCGTTTTCGTCATCGTCGTCGTCGTCGACAGCGGGCCTGCGCAGCACCTCCCCCCCCCAATACCGCATCCGCAGTGCGTCGTCGTCGCCGCCGTCGTCGCCGTCTGCCGTCCGCCGTCCGTCGTCCTCGTCCTCGTCCCGTCGTCGTCATCGTCGTCGCCGTCGTCGGCGAAGAGAGCGACCGCTGGAAACGGGCGCAGGCAGGGCGGGGGACAGCGGCGACGACGGCGACAGAGGTGGGGAAGGGGACTACCCGCCTTGCTCGGGTCGGACGAAAGGCCGGGGAAGGAAAGGGGGTGTTGCAAAGCCTGCTGCTCGCAGCTGGTTTCGGTCGCCCCGCCGAAAGGCCAGTCCTGGACGCATGGCTGCTTTCGGCGCCAGGAGGCGCTTGGAAAATCGTCGACGTGAGCTGGTTGGCAAATCTCCCCTTCGCTGCGCCCCACATTCGTCCAGCCCGCGTTGCCCGCAGGTCCGCATCGGCTCGACAGAAAGAGGGGCGCCATGGCTCGACGTTGCCCCCAAACACCCACCCCTTGCCCCTCGTTGGCGGCCGGGCGTCGGCGCTAATCACCAGCGCCGCCCCGTTGATTTTCAATCTGGCGGGTGCCACCCCGCGATTCGTCCGAGCAGGGAAATTATTTTTGAAAACACGCGCCCACCCACGGATTTGTTAATCACAAATTGGCACTGCATACATACATGCACACATACACACATACACACATACATACATGCATGCATACATTCATACACACATACATACATACACACATACGATCGACCGCGCTCGTGGGGCCCGACAGACTAGAAGGGGGGGCCCAGCTTGAAGCTACCCCCCCCCCCCCTTCCCTGCTAAAGGGGGGGGGGCTTCGGAAACCCCCACCCCCCTCCACCCCTTTTCGTGGTTCGGAAAGGGGGGGGGCGTCCAAGCTACGCCCCCCCCTCCCTCACTTTAATTGAGCCGGGGTGAGCCACCCTCCCCCTTTGGTGGTGGGGGGGGTTGGAAGCTACCCCCCCCTCCGCCTCTTTTCGTGGCCGGAATAAAGGGGGGGGGGTCCAAGCTACCCCCCCTCCCTCCTTTGAACGGAGTTAAGGTGAGCCCACCCCCCTGTTTGAAAGGGGGGGGGGCTTTGGAAACTCCCCCCCTCCTCCTTCCCTTGGTGCAAAAGGGGTCCCCCCCTCTCCTTTCTGGCTCGTGAGGGGGGGGGGGTCATTTGAGTCGTTTCTTGGCGGTCCCGGGGCCCGCTGAGGGCCTCTGGAGGCCGAACATATCCAAAAGTTTCCGCCTTGATTTTTGTTTGCGAGACGTCGGAGGTCTGAGTCCCGGGGCCCGTCCCGGCCGATCTCTCTTCTCCTGGGGCCGGAGGCAGAAAATCTCCAAACCCTTCCGCCTTGATTTTTTCTCAAGACGTTGGAGGTCTGGGTCCCGGGGCCCGCCCCGGCCGACCTCCGGGAGGGGGAGGGGAGGTTCCCGGGGGGTCCCCCGAATGGTTAGGAATGGCGGAGGACGGGTAGCACGAACATGTAGGTGGCGATATGCACCACAACGCCTGTATACATCACATTACCCGCGTGCACCACAACGCCTGTGTACACCACACCGCCGATGTACATGACAGCAGCCGCGTGCAACACAGCGTCAGTTTGTGCCACCGTGCCTGCGGGCACAGCAGCTCCTGTGTACACCACAGCGCCTCCGTACACCACATCAGCCGTGCGCAACACAGCACCAGTGTACATCACAATGCCTGCGTGCATTGCAGTGCCTGTGTGCACCACATCAGCCGCGTGCAACACAGCACCATTGTTGTGTATAGAATTTCAGAAGGGATCCTTGTGACAAAATGGAGCGCGTGTGGATTCCAGAGAAAACAATGG